TTGGAGTAATTGTGGGTTTATGAAGTAGCATTTTCTGTTAGCGTGTAGGAAACTCAAAGCGATGTGAAACTAAATATTTGTATAATTTATCTTTTGCTTTTATGTTGTATCCAAGACTATCTGAGCTCCATGTACCTTGTATGCTATTTTGAAATATTGGTTTGCAGGATGAAGTGATGATTTGAATTCGTGGCTGTACTACTCCATTTATCCTGGGAAGTGCTGATAGTGTATGTACAACAGTCTTGTCAGGGCTAGGATGTATTTTTAGTGCCCTCTTGTGTTTCTATTGTTGTAGGACCCTGCATGTAAAGTTGTTACTAAAGCATTTTAAGTTTTATTCCCATGAATATATACTGTTTTATATTGTGCTGTGCTATTTTTGCACATCTGGGACTGTCTTCTGAGATACCAGCTGTTAATTACTGCAGAAAATCATTTGTACCTCTCTCATTTTCATGCTTCAGCAGTGTTATATCTTCACTAACACAACAACCTAGTGTTATAGAAAGACTGGGTATTTGTGTCATGGATGTAAATTAGAGTAGCACTAATAGCTTTAATTACTTAAGCAAAATTGCAAGGTTCCTGTAAAATATGTAACAAAAGCTGAGTAGACTAAAATGCAAAATTGATGTTGGCTGAACTGCCATATAAGTAATTTCTTCTTTATACTTTTCTGTTTTGTTTATTGGAGAATATGTGCTGGCTCCTGACTGTTCTGACTGCCTAAGCCCTCTGGCGCTTCATGCTTGTGCTGCTTCAAATGTAAAATATAGAGTTTGCAAACCAGTATTTGTGAATATTTGTTCTCAATTTGAGGATCATCTTGGATCATCTGCATTTACTATCGAACCTTAGTTGCCTGAGAAGATGGTGATGGGCTTTCTGTTGGAACCACCGCTGTCCAAATTAATATGAGACACCTAAAATGGTGCAAAACAGGGAATTCCAAGATATTGACCAGATGGGAACTTGCAAGATAGTAATCAAGTAACTATTGAAAGAACAGCAATAAGAACATAAAGCTTTAGGAGTAGGTAATAAACCATGGCTCACCAAGCCTGCCCACTATTCAATAAGGCCACTGCTGATCTGCCCCAGGTCTCAAGTACTCTTTCATTCCAGCTCAGCACAGCTATCAACCTGTTTATAATTTAAGTATCTATCCACCTCGTCTTTAAATACTATCTGTAATCTAGCCACCACAACCCCCTGAATAAAGAATTCCAGACTTTCATTACCCTCTGGGAGACTAAATTTCTTTGCATCTGTTATAAATGAGTGTTCCCTCATTCTGTAACTATGTTCCCTAGTTTGAGATTTCCCACACCAGCGGAAACATCTTCTCAACATCTACCCTGTCAACCCCACCTTAGCATCTTTGTATATTTCAATAAGATCATCTTTCACTCTTCTCGACTCTAATGAATGAAGACCTAATAAATGTTTAAGTCTGAAAAGTGTGTAATGAAAGCAAAAAATACAGAAAATTCTAAACTGCTCTGATAGCATTCATTGAGAGACAAACTGAGGTAATGTATCAGGTCCCTGACATTTTCTCTGAATTTTTTCTTTGCTTCTTTGTCCACAGCTTCTGTTAAAGCTATTAAAGCAGTATTTTCTATTTGATTACAGATTTCCAGCATCTGCCATTCTTTGCTTTTGCTCTTTGATGGCATGTGACTTGTCTGGGAAGTTGGAGATGTTCGTGTTCTCACAATATTATTGCTTTTATTGTTGGTTTTTGTGTAAATGACTGCACAGACAGTTACATTGTAGAAGCTTTCTGTTCCCATCTGGTTCTTGACGTTTTGCTTCAAAATGCTGACAGTTGCTAAATTATCCCCACAGTATTTGTGCTGCTGTTTATAGGTGATTGGTATGAATACTGGAGTGGAATTCTTAGGTTGTTAAAATCATGGAATGAGGTGAGAGAGCCTGAGAGGCCAAATGCATGCAACCTCTGGCATCTGTGCTTTTGGGAATCTTATCATCTAGGGGGGGGATTATGCCTTTCATTCTGTTATCCCAGAGAATGTGGCAAAATTATTTACCTCAGTGGTAGATTTATGCAGGCACAGGGTTTGATGCTGATATCCCTGTGACAGCTTAGAATGAGCCTCCGACATCAAAGTCCTGCACTAAGTAAATTTGGCAGCTGCAGACAATGCTGTTGCTGAAATGGAGATCACCTGGAGATTACCTTCTGGTAATCAGTGCAAATCTGCCCCTGCCTCTTGAAGTTGCTCATCCCTGACGTACCATACTAGGTTTTCCTTTGCCAGAGCATACATGTTCTTGGAAGTAAACTTTGAATCGGGGTAATCTTACCAGCTACCACTTCTTGCCAACACAATAGTAAAGCTCCAACCAAAATGCCCAATTTGTAGATTAGAAGTGACGTGACTGATAATAGCTGCTAAAGCTAATTGAAAATATCAGTCAAAACATTTGATCTAAAACTGTAATAATAATCTTTGATCCATATATATTTGCCCAATATGGCAAATCTCCAAGTACCATTACATTTCTAAAGATATAATGTTATAGACTACCTACTAAGAAGTGAATTGGACTTCCATGAGGCCTGGTTTAAATAGGTGAAATGGATGCACAACATATTCCAGCAAGAATTGTAGAAGTTTGCACTTACATTTACTTATTCACCTACTCTCATCTGCCATTTGCAGAAATGTATGGCTGGTGCTCTTTGGATGGAGATTCAGAATTTGGGATCTCCATTTGAAATCCAGAATAGCACTCCAGCATTGCTAAATATTTGACAATGGTGATTAGATAATATATCTTCATGTACCAGCGAAGGGTCAGTGCCTTAAGGTGAAAAGAGGAAGGGAGAAAATTGTCACAAACACTGTATAACATTATGTGTGAAGGATGGCGTTCCAAGTGATAAAACATTACTGAAGATGCACAGGGTGAGGAGATTTACTGTTGTTTTCTTCCTGCATTAATATAATGTTCCATTTAATTATTCGCAGTGTTTATCAACTAGTTGCAGTAAAAGGCCTCTTGGGAATAAATATGTTGTCCCTGATCTGTTTGTAAATTTCACTATATTTTTAAATAGACTCTCCAAACTTTACACAAACTAAACTGTTGGATAAATGAAAAATAAAACAATGTTTTATCAATTGTTTGCACTTTTTAAAGGCTTACAATATAAATTGTGTACTTGAAGTAAAGTACAAAACTTCATAATTCAGAGTTGAAAACTATCTTAATTAAATTCAAATTAGCTGGTATAAATATTCAGACTCATTCCAATTGAAATTTGTGTATGCACTGTTGTAGTGGCCTGAGTCCACTATTGTTAAATGAGTATTGTATGATGTTTGGATCTGTGTTGCAATAATCTATTCTAAGTTTTTAGTTTAATCTCATTTTGTAGTATGCTTTAATATTGTATTGTCAGGTCAAAATATATATACGCATTTTAGTGACTGCTTTATCTTTTTTCTAGTGGAACAGGTACCTGAATTTTATGGGTTAGAATTCTGCAAATTTATCAGTTATTGTTGAAACTTGCGTCTCCATCCTTCTCCTTTTTGGTTAAAAGGAACGCTCCAACTTTGTATTAGAATTGTTTACCTGGTAGTTGTTGCACAATTTGAAGTTACATATGGATCACTGCAGAATTTAACTGTTACAGTACTATACTTGTTTCTGTTTTAGTTTTTCTTTTACTTATTTATGGTTATATTTCAACTTTCAACTACTCTTTGATTCAATGGATTTTTATTTGGGCAAAGTCTTTAAATTTCTTGAATAAGTGTATATTGATTGGACAATGTCAGTTTTGCGCAGTGGACTTGCATGTCATACAAACTGTTTAAATGCAAAACCATTTCACATTTTCACTGCAGTTTAGGAGGTTGAGAGGTGACCTAATAGAAGTTTATCAAATTATGAGGGGTATCGATAGGATTAATGAGAGGTGTCGTTTCCCTAGGATGGAGGAATTCAAGACCCAGGGCCATATTTTCAAGGTGAGAGGAGAGAGATTTATAAAAGACATGAGGAGCAACTTTTTTTTGATTGTGGTTCGTGTGTGGAATGAAATTCCTGAGGAAGTGGTGGATGTGGGCACAGTTACAACGTTTAAAAGACATTTAGATAAGTACATGAATAGGAAAGGTTTGGAGGGATATGGGCCAGGAGCAGGCCGGTGGATAATTTAGTTTGGGATTATGTTCAGCCAGGACTGGTTGGAGCAAAGGGTCTGTTTCCATGCTGTATGACTCTATGAGGCACTTAGAACCTAAACCAAATCTTGGATAGCAAAGAGCAGATTGCTAGCTCACTACCCAATGTGCCATTACATGGTTATTTTGAATAGATTTAAGAAATTGGAAAATGTTAATTGGCTCATTGTAAGATGGAGTATTGCATTGTGCTTTTGCAGTATTAGTTAATGGTGCTGTGAGATTGCAGTGCAGGATGACCATTAATGGGAAATCTTGTAGATCTTAGTCTGGTGTGGTCCTTTCACTTCTAATGAGCTCATCTTTATTTAATCAACAGTGATGCGCTTCAGAAGCACTGTCGACATTTGATTGGATTAGATAAAAATGTGGTTATCATGGTGCCATTTGAATGTAATTGAGACTGTAAATAATTTATAGCAAAATCAAATGCAGAAATTAAGTTTCGTAAACAGCAGTTAAACTCAAGAATTGTCATTAACCTCATAGTCAGGAACAAGGGAAGCACTACACAACATGTAGTATGTTGGAATGCGATAAGTACCTGATTGAAGTGTACAATTTAAATGTACCACTCCTGCCAATTTCCAATGCAGAATAATCTTAAGTGAAGCATAATTCAGGTAGAACCATTTGTTTTTCTCGAATCATTATGAGCCCGTTAGGTTCCAGAGTGCTTTTCTCACTGAACTGTTTTATTGTAGAAGATTTTCTTCCAAGGAGTAAATCAACCTCTGGAATATTTCAATGTTCTATATCTATTCTTTTTTAAAGGTTTGTCAGTTGCACTACAGCTGCTACATGGAGATATTGATCAGATCTGGAGAGAGTACCCGGTATTGTTCACAAGAGGTGTGGCTATCACCAGAAAGTTGGGCTTTTCAGATATTATAATGCCAGGTAGGTTGAACAGCACTGAAGTTGTTATAGATCAATTCTGGGAATTGTTGCACTTCATTTTCTGACTCCACAAATTGGCTTTTGTCAATCACAAGGTCTTCGAGATAATTTATCTGCATTTTAAAACAATATGCTTTGTTCTGGAGTATTTTATGCTACACAAACTATGACAAAGATAATACAAAATTGTTTACTTGAAGTATTACCTTTTTAGTGTTCATACTTGGTTTAAAATTTTTAATTATTTGTACCATGTATACAGTAAGGCATTGAAAAGCTAGCATTTTAATACTATTCAGTGATAGTTGCAAGTTTATGCCTTTTGATCCTTCAGCACATCCTCAGCATTGACACTTCAGTACATTACAGAGGGAAGCTGTAAATGTAAATTCCCCATTTTTCAGATCTGCCCTTTCAGGCGGATATTAAAGATTACATAGTGCTCTTTACAGAACAGCAGGTATCCTGGCAAATATTTATCCTTCAACCAATGTCCGCTTTAAAACAAAAAAAAAATTATTTCACCAATGTTTTGGGAACATTGCTGTGTACACAATGGATGGTGTGATGGTGTGTTTCCCATATTACAGCAGTAACCATACTTCTAAATTAATTCATAGGCTGTAAAGCATTTGGGAGAAATCCAGGATTGAAAGGGTGCTGTATAAATAGACTGTGTCTTTTCTTCATATGTTTTCTCGTGAAGAATATATTGCTTTCAGGATGTTATGATTTTCTTTTGTAGTGCCTGTTTGTAAAATATGGGCATCGGTGGCAAGGTCAGCATTTATGGCTCATCCCTAATTGCCTGTGAAAATGTGGTAATTTGCTACCTCCTTGAATTCCTGCAGTCCTTGTGGTATATGAACACCCACAGTATGGCTGGGAAGGACGTTCAAGGCTGTGAAACCAGTCACAGTGATATATTGTTTCAGAGATAGTAGGAATGCAGATGCTGGAGAATCTGAGATAACAAGGTGTAGAGCTGGATGAACACAGCAGGCCAAGCAGCATCAGAGGAGCAGGAAGGCTGACGTTT